AAGGGGTAAAAAGAAAAAAAGGAATGGAATAAATAGCTGGAGACTATTGTTTAGGAGTTATAGAAAAAGGCAGAGCAGAACACCAGAGCTGAAAGGCATAACCAAGATGATGGTAATGGCAATAAAGCAATGCATACAGAAAGTATAAAGTGTTCAGTGATATTTGGGGAGAGCAAAAAAGCACAGATAATCTTTGCAAGAACATATAAAAGTGTGCTTCATAAAAGGCATCGTGGGTTCTTAGAATTAAAGACCATTGAGTCTTTCCAGTGGCTAAAAGTCTGAGTTGTTTCTCTGCAGTGTAGGTCCAACAGTTATTTTTGGGATACATGAGACTTTCAAAAGTGAAAATTTGGAGCAGCAATCCTGAAAACACAGAAAAACTCTTGTCTTTTTAACAACCATGTGCACCCATCATGGCCCTGAGCATTTACCTTGTGTATATAATAACCCAACGTGCAAGGGCAGAGAGTGTCTGTGCATAATGAGGGAGTAGGGAGGGCAGAGAGGCAGAAAATCTACGCTTCCTTTCCAGCTCTGGAAGCACGAACATATTCACTCCATTGCATAGCACCAGAAATACTAAACCTGATAATTCTAACTCTGAAAGCTCCCTGGAAATTAAAAAAAAAAAAAAAAAAAGAAAAGAAGAAAAGAAAAAAAATAAACTGGTATAGAAGGAAATCTTACTTTAAATATTTCTATTTTAATTATTTCCATTTGCTATGACTAACCCAAAGAAACACAATTTAGAAACATCTTCTCGTTTAACAAAGTGGTTAATGTTAATCGTATTCTTGGCACTATATGATGTTAATGGATACATCATCTAGTATGTTTTATGGTACATTTAAACCAGACATCTGGAAAAATAGCCATCAGAGTACTTATCTCTAACACCTATTGTAAAAACAGACTTAATAAAATGAGAACAAATAACAGAGCTGGCAATTACCCTTATCATGTGTATTCTGGAAAGAAAGGTCAAAAGGTTGTTAGTCTGTATATATATGAACTGATTTTCTTTAATATAGTTTCTCACCTGATTTCCCATAGGTTTTTAGAGGCTTTTTGTTTGCAAGGAAAGGGGAAGGGAAAGTTGGGTTTAGCTATAATCTGCTAGACAATAATCATGTAACTAGTATCAGAATCTGGTGCCCCTTCCAAGTAGTCATTTATATTAACAAAGAGAGAAAGAGTCTGTCAGAGTCTAGAAGATAAAAGGTTCAGCAATTGCACAGATTTTACAGATATGGACAGATGTGGACAGGGCAGTCACACTTTCAGCTGCTCTGCATTACTATCACATCAAACTTCAGCTACGATTTTAATATTTTTTATTATATATCTGTTGCAGGGAACATAATTTTCACTTTTTTTTTTTTTTTGTGGGTTTGCAGCAGACCTCATGTCTTTTGCATGCAGCTCCAAGCATCCTGATGCCAAATAACTCCAGAAGTATAACCAGATAGGAACTGTAGTAGCAAATACAAGGAAAGTTTAAATCAATAGACAGGCAATTTTCCTTTTCTCACTGTTCAGACCCAGGTTCAGAGAAACTACTTAAAAGCTGGTGAAGGAGCCTTTAAACTAAAGTTGAAGGGTGAGGGAAACCTCAATCCTACTCCTACTAGTTTGATAGCAGTGCCAACAAGAGATGCCCAGAGCCTGGAGGGGGATGGCAGGTCAGCACCTGAAGCAGGAGCACAGAGATTTAAGCCACTCCAGCCATCAAGTCAGCTTCATTTATGCAAATGCATGGAGCATGCAGAATAAACAAGAGGGACTAGAGGTGTGCACGTGCCTGCAGGGCTATGATCTTGCTGACATCACTGAGACGTGGTGGGATGGCTCCTATGGCTGGAGTGTTGGAATGGAAGGATACAGGCTCTTCAGGAAGGACAGGCAGGGGACATGAGGAGGGGGTATCATCCTCTATGTTACGCTGGAGTGCATGGACCTCTGCCTGAGGATGGATGAACCAAGAGCTTATGGGTCAGGATTACAGGGAGGGCAGGGACAGGTGCCATTATAGTGGGGGTCTGCTACAGGCCACCCAACCAGGAAAACCAGTGGATGAGGCCCTATAGAAGCAGATAGGTGCAGCCTTATAGGCTATCAAGGAGGGCTCACATCAAGATTGCTACCATGGACTTGAGGAGAGTGGATTTTGGCCGCTTCAGGTGTATGTGTGGTAGCGTACCATGGGATAAAGACCTGGAGGGAAAAGGGGTCCGGAAAAACTGGTTAGTGTCCTAGGACCACCGCCTCAAATTTCAGGAGTGATGCATCCTGACAAAGAGGAATTCAGGCAAGAATGTCAGGAAGCCTGAGTGGGTGAACAGGTGCTCCTAGACAAACTCAGACACTAGAAGTAAGACTACACAGGGTGGAGGTAGGGACAGGTACCATTGGAGGAATACAGAGAAACTGTCGAAGCTGCCAGGGGTCAGGTTAGGAAAGATAAAGCCCTAATGATAGTATTAAATCTAGCCAGGCACATCAAAGGCAACAAGAAAAGTTTCTATAGGTACATCAGTGATAAAAGGAAGAATAGGGAAAATGTGGGCCCTCTTGGAAGGAAACAGAGACCTTGTTACCTGTGATATGGAGAAAGCTGAGGTAGTCAATAACTTTTTTGCCACAATCTTCAACAGCAAGTGCTCCAGCCACACTTCGCAAGTCACAGAAGGCAAAGGCAGACACTGGGAGAATGAAGAAGTGCTTGCTGTAGGAGATGAGGTTCAAGACTTTCTAAGGAACCTGAAGAGGTACAGGTCCATGGGACCTGATGAGATGCATCCACGGGTCCTGAGGGAACCAGCTGATGAAGTGGGTACTCCACTATCGGTCATACTTGAGAAGTTGTGGGAGTGTGGCAAAGTTCTCACTGACTGGAAAAGCAGAAATATAACCCCCATTTTTAAAAAGGGACAAAAGACCCAGGGAACTACAGTCCAGTCAGTGCCACCTCTTTGCTCAGCAAGATCGTGAAACGGATCCTCCTGGAAACTGTCTGTACTGGGACCAAAGCTGTTTAATATCTTTGTCAATGGCATAGACAGTGGGATTGAGTGCATCTTCAGCAAGTTTGCTGACAACACCAAGCTGTGTGGTGCAGTCAACACTCTGGAGGGAAGGGATGTCATCCAGAGGGACCTTGAGAGACTCAAGAGATTGGCAATTGCAAATCTCATTAAGTTCAACAAGACCAAGTGCAAGGTCCTGCACAGACAGAAGACAGGCAGAAGGACTAGAGAAAAGAAGGCTCTGGGGAAACCTTCGAGCAAGCTTCCAGTGCCTAAAGAGGGCCTACAAGAAAGGTGGAGAGGGATTTTTTACAAAGGCATGTAGTGACAGGACAAGAGGGAATGGCTTTAAACTGAAAGAGGGCAAATTTATATTAGATGTTAGGAAGAAATTCTTTACTGAGGGATTGGGTTTGCCCAAAGAAGCTGTGCCTGCCCCATCCCTGGCAGTGTTCAAGGACAGTCTGGATGGGGCTTTGAGCAACCTGGTCTAATGGTGGAATGTGTCCCTGTCCATAGCAGGAGGGGTTGGAATGAAATAATCTCTAAACCCCTTCCTACACAAACCATTCCATGGTTCTAAGCCCCTTTCCTATAAACAGAAAGAATGGTTTTTTCCAGGATGCCTGAAAGGAAATGAATGAGGATTACATTCAGGCATGAACAGAATGTGGAACAATCTTGCAAGACTATTTCCCTTATGCATACACTCTAATTCTGGAATAAGAATGCCCTTTTCCTGTTTAAGTGTGTGGAGAATTAATCCAGAAGAGCTGTAATAGTTAATTTCCCCTGGTAGACATACCCCAAACAAAAGAAACTATCTTTTCTTATAAATTGCAGGTAAAGACAGAAAGAACAGGTGCCTTTCCCATATATTATATCATAGAAATATTAAACTCTCCATGTTTATTGTTTTGTAAGTTTATTCCTCTCTAGAACACATCTAGAATGAAAATTCTTCTGTGCATTGATGCTCATACTTCCTTACCTTTGTTTTTAATACTACTATAAATGTCACAGTGCATCCTCATATTGCATGGGCTAAGAAATATCTTACGGCTCCAGGAAAATAAATAGAAACTAGTTCTTAAATAAGCACTCCAGCAGATTAACCTACAGGTACACAAGATTTAATTACAAGTTCGATGAATACGTTGGTGGATTAAAAAACAAAACAAAGCAAAAAGCCCTTCTCAGATGAACTTTGTCTAGCATCTACAGTACTGTGAACTTAATGTCTAAAATGGTCTGGAATTTTACTAATGGATTTTTGAAAGTTATAATCTACTTTAATATCCCTTTATAGAAACCAAGCAAAACCAGGCTGTTATTACATAGCAGACTTATTCAGATGATGTTCATGTTTCCGGAAATAACTTTTCTTATTTTCCTTGATTTTACAGAAAAGAGGCAAAAGAACTAGATTAAATTTGGGGAGTAAGCTCATTGTTGCGAGGAAACATCCTGGAGGACGAATGAGCTATTGACATTCTCTCCTCAAGCAAGAAGCTGTCCCAGGAGATCCATAAGAAACAAGAAATAACAACAAAGACTGAAAAACAAATTGATGAAACCAGAGATGGCTGCAGACCTGTAAATAGCTTTTCACACCGTCGCAGTTACTGTTTGAATTGAATAGTTTAGATTTGCAAATAGATGGAGAAATCCACTCATTTCTTTTAAAAAATCCTTGTGAAAAACAGATTTCACATTAAATCCAATTTTAAAATAAATACTAATGCTTACATTTAGTCTGCAAAATCATACCTATTGTAATATTAAGAGCAGTTGAGGGGACAAACCGTGGCAGAATTGGAAGCATTGCTTTTAATACTTCAGCTGGGATTCAGTTTTTTCAGTACTCACAAGTTTGATTTCTAATGTTTTGTATAGGATTAGACTGCAAATCACTCAAGCATGTTAATTAGCTTCTCCTCTAACCTTGTTTATATCAATTCCATGTATCAATACTCTTTGGCTTGGTTTATTAATCACACATCAGTCCTATTTACAACAGTGAAAAGTCTAATTCATTACATACAGGATCAGCAATGTTAAAGATCATTATACATAAAGATGTATTTAAACATAACACCATTATAGCAAATTTGGGAAATCAAAGAGGTAGTAACTACTGAAGCCCTTAACAGACATAAAAATGCAAATATTTCATGAAAAGTATTTAAAACTGAGCAGTGATTAAACCATATTGGGATTTATCCGTGATGAAATCTGCTGTGGCTAGCACCCCTTTAATTCTTTCTTGTCCTTCTCACTGCAGGTTGCTGTCGATGTGCAGGTTCGAGTCATAAGCTTCGGCATCACTATGAATATTTCCTTACTCACAAAGGACATCCTCACGTAAGAAATTTTCTCAACATCCTAAAATATTACAAAGAAACAATAATTATGGCTAATTATTCACTCCCAGTACTCTTTTTGTGGTCTACAATTTCAAAAGAGTGAATAGAAGACAGGTGCATAAAATAGGCTTAATGAGAACACCAGAAAAATAGTTGCTTTAGCTGTAAATTACTACTTCTACATGTTGTATTTTATCTTTAAAAGGAAATGTGTTGCTCATAAAAGATATAAAATTAGTAGGGCTGGAAACTGAGTTCTTTTATTTCACCCCAGAAAATGCATAACATACTGCCAGTGGTACTGAAAGCTTGCTAACGACATAATATTAATATTCACTAATACCTGGTGGAGTAAATTAATATTGTTTGGCATTAGCTGTAACAAGCACTGAGTCTCACTGTCTCTCTTTAAGACTTTCATTCACCCTCTACATTTAGTGCTTGCTCTCATGGTGCAAACTACATCATTTCTACCACTATGATTATTTTTCCCTCCCTAACCAAGCAACTCTTTCTTGGTCTTGTCTTTCCTTTTGGTCTTCTAAGCAGGAACACCAGCCTCTTCTGCTTTTTCCTTCCAAGGAAAGCCTTCGTTCAAAATTGCATTTCTGCCTTCCTCCTGGATCAAACAGGGGGTCCTTTCCTTCATAATATGCAATTGTCCTTCCTATTCTGTGGCCCCTATAAATAACAGACTTTTTCTCAAGGCTCTCACCTTCTGGCTGTTCTTCTTTTACCTAGCAAGGGACAAAGCTTTCAGACCACAAACCAATGCCTTCCTCTCCTCCCTGGCACTGAGCATAAGCCTCTAATGTAGAGGGAAGCGATTTCCCTCTGTCTCCTGCCTTTGTTATGCCTCATTTTGCAGGGTGACTCTGACTGTCAGCTAGATGCTAGATCAGAAAACATGAGATGAGAGGCAGCAGCTGAAAGCAAGAATGCTTTAACCTGTGTTGAGAGGCTTGCCTTTTAGCTGCAGATAATTCCTCCTTGCTTTCCTCATTCTCTTGTTTGAGCACTTCTGCAGCTGCAGGTCAGATCTGTAGATGCAAAAACCTGACCTTTGTCATTGAGCAAAGGCCTGAGACAAAAGAATTCTTCTGCCTTCTGAGGACAAAAATGCATTTTGATCATGATTAATCTGAGCCAGGCTCAAAAATGCTTTCCAAAAGGCAGAAGACTTAAATTTTATCAGCTATATTGAAACTCTTTCTTTTCTTTTTTCTTTTTTTTTTTTTTTTTTTTGCTTACATAGTTAATAATAAGATTTACTTTCCTTTTAGGGGAATGTGTTAACATCTCCTGAAATCATTGTGAAATGATTGCATAGCTGAGTGCCTACTTGGTTGGCTGGAGGTCCCAGGAATACCCCCTGATCTACAGCAAGGATGAAGGGTCCTAAGATGTAGGAAGCACTGTCTGAAATTCCTTGGCTTATGTCCTGGGTTTGGCCTGGACAACACAATAGTCCTTGATTACAAAGCAGCAATGAATTACTAGGAAAATTATGATGATTGCAGCCTGGTTTAGGACCTCCAGCTGTGGCCCACACACTCCTGGTTACCTGATGTGGCTGCAAGTCTTCTCCATTAGTGCTGATGACAGATTATCATTAAAGCTTCCTGTGTTTTGTGTAGTTATTTATAAGTACATGTGTGTGTATTTTTTCCCTAAGCTAGATTATGTCTCGTAACAGTAAACACCTGATGTTTAGTTTTCTTACAACGCTCTCTTCTGACTATCTACAGTCACATAATACCTTTGAATTTCATTAGGTAACCAGTTAGATTTAGGATTCACTTTTCTCGATCTCCCATACCAATTTGGCATTGTTTCTTCAATATTTCCATCCCTCATAACTATAGGCAACCTTCCTTAAATGTTAATACATAATTGAAATTTCTATTCTCTTCTAAATTATAGTCTGGATATTTAATTGCTCCTAGATTTTAAAGGGTCTGCCTTCAACATTCAATATTTGATAGGTATCAGGAGTCTTATCGCTGGCAGCAACAACTGCCTCTTGGCCTTGTATACACTTAGGCTGAAATAATACCTAATTGTTTTTTTCCTTTAACTAACTTTGATTGAGGAGAAAGTCTGCAGCATAGTTTGGAAAACAATTTCCTATCCTAATTTTTTATAGCCAGCCTCTTCAATCTTACAGATTACTGGTTTACCAGTAGTTTGAATGAGCGAAAAATAAGGAAGACAAAAATTAATACTGTGTTTTCAGCTGTTTCCTAGATTAATCTAGAAAAAACGTATAATGTCAATATGTTTTAAAGTGGTCGTATGAGACTATCGAAAACAGATCCTGGAGGATAAACGGCAATATTTAGGTGCAAGTACTGATAACATTCCAGCAATGCTATCTTACCTCAGGTACCATATAGCTGTGCTAGACCTCTAATAGACTCCTTTCCATAATACTTGTTACTAAACACAGCTTCCCTTGCAAAAGCATCATTTCAAGATGCATTTTTCAAATGTCACTGTCACATGCTCCTGGTTTTCAATATCAGCTGTCACAGAAATCTGTCCTGTCCTGTTCTGAAGGTTTCTGCTCACCTGGAAAAATATATCAGCATGCTCAAGAGGACCCCTTAATGCATATGTAAATAGCTGGGGGGTGTATCAGGATCTCAGCCCAAGGGCCATCACGTTTGTGCAGGGTGTCCTCAGCTGCCCCACAGAAGGGTGTGTGTGCCAGGTCTCAGCTTCTCTAAAGGCTGCTGAGGTGCAGCAAGTCAGGGCCTCATTATTTGAACATCTTCTTTCAAGGCATTGTATTGTGCTGCCTGATTTATTTTACCGTGTTAACAACATTCTTCTTTTATTCTATTTTTAGTACAGATGGGAACAGGAGAGTTTCCTACAAGGAAGAATAAAGGTAGTAGGTACAATAAAAATTAACTCTAAATGTTGTATGATACTCACTAATCTGTCCTTCTCTATGTTGTGACCTATTAAATGTCACTCTAGCTTTACATATTCCACAGAAAGCCATGCTGTGAGTCACAGAAGAAAAAGGCTGAGATCTCCTTGCTACCCAAGACAGACAAGAGCTAGATTCAGAGAAAAGCCCTTGCAGCCATGGCTGAGCCCAGTCCCAGGCTGGAAATGGGGCTCCTCTGCTCCTCCAGCCACCCTAAAATAGTACTTCCCAAACTTGACCTGGCCATCACAGCCACCCAGACAAGCAGGCAGGAGTCCAGACGGAGGCTGTGTGCCCTGCAAAGCAGCAGCCCCTACATTCACGTTCTGCCTCCAGTGCAGAAGGGTGAATAACAAGCCATGCTTCACTGCAAGAGCACAGCAGAAACCAAAAAATAAAAATGTTTAAAGAAATCAAATACAGCCCAAGAGGAAAATGTCTTTATTTACCTTGCAGGTGAGCATCTGAATCCAAGCTTTTCAGAAAGATTTCTGCCTGCATGCAAGCACCAGTGCCCCAGAAGGAGAGGGGAAACAGAAGGTCATGCAATCACAAGTCCCAAGGCCAGGAATAAATACCTTAACCCACCTCTGTTCTTTCATTAAAAAATCAACCAGGGATTTTAAAATTTGGTATTTTATCAGATGATCAATTTTAAAAAGCAGCTTGAGCTCGAGGTAGTCATGTACAGGAAAAAAAAAGAATTAATTTATTTCTTTCCCCTCCATGTGCCACTCAGGAGTTGTTTCAAATAGGATTATTTTGTCATTCAAGTTTCAAGGTTAAGATTTGCCTCTATTTATGACTGCAACTGTAAAATCCTTCAAACCAGTAAACTATCACAGTAATTCCAGAAACAAAGGATGCATAATGAAAAAACTGAACTGAGAATTGAGAATCCTGTGGGCCATGAGGAGTGGAATATATTAACATTCACCTCTAAATAATTTCCTTGGTTGCTTATATACTAAAATATAATAATAAAAAAAAAAATCCTTGAAGCATCTATGTGGTTGCGTGTTGGTATCCTTTTGAGAAACACAAATTACGCTTTTTTTGTCTTCTCTGCAAGGGTTTGCAGCAGAACAAAGGCCCAGTAAATAGTGATGAATGGCTCTTCCTTCTCACTGGGGGAGCAGCTTTGGAGAGCCCACATGCTAATCATGCCCTTACCTGGCTGAAAGATAAATCGCGGGGTGAAATTCTCTGACTTTCAGCCCTACCAGCCTCCTCTGGCTGAATGAGCTACTTCTGCTCACATGTGAGTTGTTAAAGCATTTTGTTTTCCTCTTTCATTTTTTGCCTTTGAAGAGGAAGTAAATTACAACTACCCATGCCTATTATTAAGACCTGAAGAGAAAATGTTTAAATTAAAGATTGTACAAACATTCAAGCAGCAGTGTAATAAGCTCCATTTGGAAGGCAATGTAGCAAGTTCTGTATTTTTTATTTGGTTCATTACTTAAAACTAAATAACAATTGCTAGTTTTATTGCTGCCATTTAACAATGCTGGGATTTTCTCTGTTGGTGTTGAAATGTAGTATGATTTCAATTTTTTTCCTCCCTGACATTTTACTCTACTAGTTTAATATTGATTAGCAGATATGTATTGTAATCTTCGCTTTCTGCAAGCTGTAACAAAGCAAGAAAGCATCAAAAAACCCCAAACCTCTGGAGAAAGACGAACCACACTGTTCTTTATTGTAAAATAAGGCTTACGTCTGAGACTACTATATCCCTCTGACTTTATTTCACTTGTTACCTTGAGTGAATTACTTAATGATGGGAGGCAAACCTTCATTTAAAGGTAATGTGGTGATTAGTTAGACCAAGATTCTAGCAAACTGCTCTTATTATTTCTGAAAAGGAACTATAAAAGGAAGTGCCATCTTCCAAAGCTGCTATTTTGAATTATGTTAGAAACAGTTCAGAGTAAAGGACCAATTTTATCATCCACCCATTCGTCTTGTCTGTACATTTCTCTCTGTTTACTTCTCAGAAGCTCATGTCAGTCTAGTCCTCATAAAGAAAATAACATTTGTTCATGCAGAAGTATTTTTTGCATCAAACACTTGCCAGTCTCAACCATTTAAACAGAGACACTGGCAAAGACGCAGCATTACTTAGGTTTGGGTTATGAAATGGAGTGCCATGAAGAGCTGCCTGGAAGAGCCCCTTTTCCATACAAGATGCCGCAAGGACAGTTTGTGCCTGCAGTGACTCTTGGAGACCTCCAGAGTCAGCAGCAATTTTATTACTTTCATGAATGTTGCAGACAGAGAAGTGAAATTTCAGCACATGCAAAAGTAGGGAGCGGACTGGCATAGAAGAAAATATTTCTGGATCTCTTTATTGCCTTTCTGTTGTCTGGGACTGTGGGCAAGACACTAGGAGAAAGCTGCTGGATGTTTGGGTGCAGCACCCGGCAGGAGGGCCGGGTTGTCAGATGGTGCCAGGAGGCATGGACTGAGTGCCCAGAAGTAGTACCCATTTAACATAAGTTACTCAGCAGAAAGGAGATGGCTCTGTTGAGGTAGTCTGTTTGGAAGTTAGAATTGCTGAAACCTTGCAACTTTGGGCAAATATCCTAGGAGGCTCATGGAGTATTTCTCTCCATTTTTATCTGCGTGTTGAAATCTCTGGTAATACCAGAAACCCTGTGAAAGAGACAAAGTCAGTTTGCTCTTTCAAAACTTTTCTTCAAATATAACGCTACCAGAATTTCCCAGAACACATTTCCTTCCTCAAGCGTTCAGTGAAAAGCACCCTAGAAAGCATTGTTTGATATGGTATAAGAGACTGTGGTTTGGGAACGATTTAATTTTAAGCAAAGATGGAATGAATAAACAAATATAACTAAGAGCTTGTTCCAGTTAATAGGCAGGCAGCCCAAGAGAGAGACTACTTTTCCTCTGCCCTAGGAACAGCAAAGTCATTCCTCACAGGACTTCTCTGGACTGTAAATCACTTTATAAATGCAAAATGCCTCAGCACAGCCTTAGAACAGAACAATTCTTGCTTTGAGGAGCCATCAACTTGCTTTGCAGAGAACAACTTGACATCTGGGATAGTCTATAAACACCAAGAAGAACAAGCTGGGAGTGCAACCAAAAGCACAAACCCATTCTCGCAAAGTACAGATGGGGCCTACGGAAGTATCAGACCAGAAGGACTGAAAAAGTAAGTTACTCCTCTCTCTCACCCTCTCACCCTCTCCCCCTCTGTCTCTTTTTTTAACAACCCGAGCTTTAGATATGCCAGCTTTTTTAATCTATAAAACCATCTGTGTAGCTTTTCTCAGTGGTATCCTTCCATTTGCGTCCTGTGTCATTGGTTTGTCTGTCTCTCCTGATGTTGATAATGTTGTTGACAGCTTCCCTTGAAGTTTCCGACGAGCATATTTTGAATTACAAAGTGTGGGGGGAGGGGGGCGGGAGGACAGCCAATGCAAAGCGAATACAGAGCTATTTTTACAGCCTCACATATATAGAACAAGTTTAGTTCTATCTTGGTCCATTTTTTCTTCAGCAGTAAAATTTCTAAACCACAGAAAATGCCACAAGAATGGCCAACTTTCCTCAGCCACTCCCCCTCTGCCCTGCAGCAGGATCCTCAGGGAGGACCTCAAAGCACTGTAGAAGTATGGCTATTGTGATACCTTTATTGGTTGTGTGATTATATGACAAGTAAGTTTCCACAATGCATTTACAAGCTTCATAAGAGGGCCCTCTGGCTAATCACCTGAGACAGGGGATGCTCTTAAAATCAGGGTGGCTTTTTGTAGATAAAAAAATAACTATTTAGTTGTCATGTAACCCTGACATATAAATAGTATTTCCTGAGCTGCCCCTGTTAAGCCACTTGCACAAACTAAGTGCCTCAAAGTCACTTAAATGTAGCCCAAAGTCTAAAGGAACTAAAATCCATTTATTTCCCTCACCCTGCCAGGAATGCACGCTAGCACTTTTCCTTGAAAATCACTCATCTTGCTGTTTATGTCTCTCTGGTGCAGAAACTGTGCTGGTTGAATGAAGAGTGGTTAATTCCGCAGTTAACCTCTCTTGCTCTTTCTGCCACGACACAGGGGTCAGCCCCAAGATCAGGAGGCCAAGGGAATAAGGTAATGAAGCTCTTGCCGTCAGCTTTAAAAATATATTCTGTTCACACCATGACATTTCCATGCCATCCAGTCTGTATCAACAGCCAAATGACTTAACTCCTCCTGATCAATCTCGCTTTAGCCTTTGGCAAAATCAGCTAGTCAGTCCACTGCTGTCAGTCCAGCAACTGTGTCAGGGCTGGGCAGCCTCCTCCACAGAGAGGCAATAAAACAGGAATGCTGAAGTTGCCCCAAAGAACAGCCATGCATCTTTAGTGCTGTTAATCCCTGTTTCAAAGGAGAATAGAGGACAAGACCCCTTTGTGGTCTCTTATCCCTGCACTAGGAGGCCTGTGCACCCTGGGAGCAGGACTCGGCTGACTGGGGCACCGACTATGGACAGGCAGCAGACAGCAGGTGTCCTGCCTAGTGCCAAGCCTACAGGGTGCCCCTCCACTTACCCTCACATCCCTGCAGCACCAGTGGCTAGTACAGATGTTCACTGCTGGAGATAGACATTGCTCCAAGCCCATTTCCTTGCTGCTCCTGGCATGCATGGAGTGTGTCTTACTGTGTCAGCCTGTGTTTTCCCTGCCAAGAAATAGACACTTCTTTGAGTAAACAATAAACCAGCTGGTTTTTGTGTCTTCAGCTGGCTACATGCAGATAAAAACATAGACAGACATGAAAAGGTTTGTCCAGTGTTTTCTCTGACTTTGGTATTTCCTGCTGTTGTGCAATGTCCATGCTTGCTGTATGGATTCTGGGGCTGAAGGAATAGGCCGAAGGGCTCCTTGCTCTCCCTCCATCTCCAAATCTCTCTCCCCAGTCTTTTCCCAAGATTTGTAATAAACTTAGGAAACTCTTTATACCTCATTTGCTAGGAAATAAGATTATTCTCATGGGAATGACATATTCTCAATGGGAATCCTTCATGTGAATGAAGGTCCCATGGAAGTCAAGATTGGCTTCAGCAGCAAGGACTTATAAAAGTGGTTTCTGATTCCTCCTCTGCAGTGGCAGAAACTTGGGAAGTAACTTGGGAAGTGACTTAGGGGTCCTCATTCATTGCCTTGCTCATGGCCAAGAGCAAGAAGGAAAGGGGAAAGGAAGATCTCTGTGGGTTGCCTACAGTTCACATGTTGTGAACTGCTTGTCCCACATGCATCTCCCTTATGAGGAGAGGCTGAGGGAGCTGGGTCTCTATAGTTTGGAGAAGAGGAGATTGAGGGGTGACCTTATTAGTGTATATAAATATATAAAGGGGGAGTGTCACGAGGATGGAGCCAGGCTCTTCTCAGTGGCAAACAATGAAAGGACAAGGGGAAATGGGTATAAATTGGAACACAAGAGGTTCCACTTAAACCTGAGAAGAAACTTCTTCTCAGTGAGGGTGACGGAACACTGGAACAGGCTGCCCAGGGAGGTTGTGGAATCTCCTTCTTTGGAGACATTCAAAGCCCACCTGGACACGTTCCTGTGTAACCTTATCTAGGTGTTCCTGCTCCGGCAGGGGGATTGGACTAGATGATCTTTTGAGGTCCCTTCCAATCTCTAACATACTGTGATACTGTGATATCCATAAATTCGGGAAGCTTGGAAACTCTTATCTAGCACACAACAACAATAACATGGCTGGAGGTTATTCAAAGCCACTACACTTCCTGAAGAATACCACAGAGATGGGTCTCCTGATGGACAACTGCACATTAGCGCACACCACAGCAGGCAGACTGGTGGGATGTTTTGCACACATCTTATCTACGCTTTACCAAATGATCTACAGAAAGTGATTGGCAAAAGAGTTCTCACAAATGAACAATTCACTCCATGAATTGGCATAGAAAAAAATACAATTCAGATAATGCCACGGTGATCCTGAGTTGTTCTCTGAGGTAAAAGATGTCACCTTCCTATGCCCTAACATTTAGGAACACCTCATAAAATACAGCACTCTTCTTTGTTCTCAGCAGCAGCAATCCATACACTTAGCAACTTGCTTCCTAAGAACTCTTAGTCAAACAAGGTAGTTTGAAGTCGTAATTATTGCACACAGGGGCTGACAATCTGTCTCCACAGTATTCCATGATGGGAACAAAACTTCTTTTTCTAGAGCAAGGGACAAAACCAAAGCCTTCAGACCTTGCTGTCCTGGTGTATTTAGAGTCCTTGCAACCCTTCACTGTCAGAAGTCTGTGGCCTTTTTCCTCGCTTCCCATTCATCCTCACAGACTAGTTTTTTGCAGTGAAAAGATTCAGCTCTCCTCACAGACATCACAGAGTACAGAATTTCAACCCTCAAGTTGCCTTCGTGCCATGTCTTCAAACACCTGTCTGATCTTTTCTGACAATGCCGATGTTACAAGTCTCCAGTTATGTAGTTATCAGCCATGTATTTAATTGGAACATGCTGGTTTAAATCCAGCTTCTACCTGCATGCCTGCCGTTGTACGTCCACAACTAATTGTGAACACAAATACTGTTGCTCAGCAGTTAAGAAAACTGATTGCACTAGCATAAATTCATTTTAAAAGTCATTAGAAATCAGGATCATTAACATGGTGCATATTTTTGCACAGCCTGGAAACCTTCTACTGGCAAACTGTTGTGCTGTGCAAAACAAACCCCATGCAACAGCTTCTGTAACTTTGCTGCCTTTTCTTTCCTTCCCTCCATAAAACTGTGTTTCTAGCTCTGATGTGATGTCCTCCAACAAGAAGAGCAGATCAGATATCTTATATTTTTGTACAGAGTAGAGACGGGGGTGAAGCATTTTCTGTAAAAGGCAGATACTTGCAGTTGGTTCTTGACAATGATTTCAGCAATATTTTTCTGGCAATAATTTGTCTAGTCAAAAAAAAAGCTGAAAAATACAATCACAGAAAAGTAAAAGTCTCTGGCCTGCCCATTTATAGATAAGCAGCAAAACTCATTCTGGTTGCAACAGTGCCAGCTCAACCTAATATTACCGATTGTAGGATACAGCCTCTCTTCCACAGGCAGAGTCCAAACTCAGAATACTTGCTTCCCCAAAATGGTATTTTATCTGCTAAACTGAAATTTCTCCCATTTGAAAGAATTTCTCCAGCTTAATGTGGCACTGCATATTACTCTCACAATGCTCAGAGATCCTTTTAATCCCCTTCTTCTTTGGAAGAAGAAGAGAGAAGATAGAAGCAGATGGACAATGAAATACAAGGCAGTGGGGTAGAGCTGTGGTTTTCCAAAATCTGTGTTGTACCCCTTTGCTTAATGATAATCTGAGAAACAAGATGGGTGTTACGTGTTATAGCAGAAGGTAAATACCCTGTTCTTTGGGAAAATAACCGGAAAGGAAAAAAGGGCATGGAGAGACTTACCTTGGGCACAGTGACAGTATGGGGATGGCCTTAGAAGCAGAGGGCAGAATTATGCACAGGCCAGAAGCCACAGCTTAAAATAGCTTTGCCTTATCTTATCATCCTCATTTTAATCCTTCCAGAAACCACAGGGACTTGCCTGGGATGCTCTAGTGACAGCCCAGCATGGTCCCTGCTGTGCCAGGAGCTCCGGATCACTGCAACCACGTCACCACATCCAGCCCGGACACTTCACCCCAAAGCAACTTGCATCCATCACACTTTGGTCATCCTAGAAGCAAGGCTAGCCACTTCACTGGACAAAACCCAGAAAGTGGTGGCAGGCAACAAGCAAACTCACAGGTAGCCTTAAAGGAGCTGTTGAGACTTCAATGCACAAGAAGTCCAAAGAGGCTTTGGAAGTCAGTGTCTGTGATCAGAGTACCTCTGACAGACTTACCAGTCAGTAAACTGCATGAGAAGAAAAACATGTTATCAATTGCCAAAAAATAAGGGTTCTAAAAAGCAATGATCATGCTAAGAAGATAAGGGGAGATGTTGGATCTGGATCTGATCTTTCTACCTTGCATTTGCAGACTATACTGCTTACTGTCTTCAGACCCAGGGGTCCAGTCTGCCTTTTAACTTGTAATTCCCTAATATATAGACAGCTCATTGAATATTTGAGATCCCCTCTCAGAATTTAGTTACTCCATTGATGTCTAAATGTTATAAATAGTATATGTCCATCCGCAGGAAATAGGAAATTTACAGGCATTTAGCAGTGAAAGACACTGGATTTGAGAGTATCTCAACAGTTCTCTGCACTGAAATCTCAGAGATGAATCCAAACTAAAGTTTTAAAATCCTGAACAACGTATTATTCTTTGGATTGTTTCATTAGCAAGAAAATGCAAGTTCTTTCATGTAGAGTTACTGATAAGAAAGGCTGGCTAGTGCTGAATGCCCTGCTGAATACACAGTGGGGTTTGTGGAGCAGGATTGTACAGCAACAAATGCCAACTGCTTAATGTCTCACTGAATTACAGATTTTGGAAGACTGTTTAATAAGAAGGAAACTAGTTAAGGTGGTTTCCAGTGAATTTTACATGTGTATAAAAAGCACAGGACTGACATTGGCAACATATCTTGGAAGGATTAAATTATTGTATCATACTCCTGGATTTGAATACCTACTGATACATGCATTACCCCCTTATTTTATGTATAAAGATATCATTAATATACACAACATTCAGCAGGTCACTTTTTTAAAAGGCCTTTTTTTTTCTATAAGTAAATGACTTTTTTTTCCTCCATGTCTCACGATTTGTCCTCTCAAGGTGTTATCATATTTCTAAACAGAAATGACTGCACTGCTTTGTTCACTTTGTACTCCAGTTGTTTGTATGATTCTGTGTTTATTGTTTGAATTCAATTAATTTGAATTAGGCCATGACATGAAGCTTTAAGCAGTTCTGCATTGGTGAAACATGAGGAGGTCCTAGTTCATTCAGGATCTCATCCATCACTGGGGTTGGAGTCACCTTCTGCTGCAGCAGGTATGCTCAGCACGGTGCACAATTAATGCCATAGTATTCCTCCGGATTTATTCAGCATTGCCTTCTGATGCGTTCTGCTCTCAGTGGCTGAAAACTTACACCAAGTTTATACAAACTCCTGCCATTTCCATCCACTCAGGATTAAAGCGAGCTGTCTGCAAGATTAAGCTCTACAGAAAAGAACAAGTAAAATAAATGAGAGGGCATCCAGTCCTGCTAATTATTGTGCTTGTGTATGCTCATGTAGTGTGTGTGTGTGTGTGCGCGCATATGTGCGTGTATATGCCTTCTTATTAGCAGCAAGGCCACTACAACTACTCAATAGTAAAGTCATACAGGATTTCCCTGCTTCATCTGCTAACAGTTTTGCTAGACCTCAACATGATGGGCTGAAGTATTCTAGGCAGATTTTCCTGCAAGCTATATCCAACACCAGACTGTTCTTACTTTTTTTTTTGTTTTTTCTAAGAACAAGTTTAAGGAAAACATATACCCTGGCCTTGTCTTCTTGAAAGGTTAGCAGATCTTTTTCTACTCCTGTGTAAATCAACCCAAATTTGCCCATGTTGCACACCTTCCCAAGATCAAGTCTGAGCACACTTCAACAGGAAAGCAGTCAAATTCCCCAGAGAGTCTGTGCTTTCTGGGCACTGTCCCCACTGGGGTGCTCAGCATTGCCCAGCAGCTACCTCATCTGGGGATGGTCACTAGGGTTGGCAGCACAGCCCCTGCTTGCCTTGCTCTCAGTGACATGGGCATGAAACTGCCCTCTTCAGGGGGAGGCAAGGATGGCGAGTGGGGAACTAGCTGTCCACAAATCATCTGCTGTGGAGGGGATGAGCAAATCAGTCTGTGTCTGCCTGTGGCATGTTTGCTTAAAAGGAGGTGCTCAGGGCTCCAGTGTCTCCACCGTCAGCAAACAGCTATGATGGCTGCTGGAGAGACTTTGTTAGCACTGGATCACATAAAGGCTGTTGCTAATGCTAATAGCTTTCCACAAAGGTATTTAGCAAAGATCTTTGGTGGATGAAATTAGTGGAACCTATGAACTGTTATCTTTCTGTGTCTTTTTGTTCCACCTGGAAAATAAAGATAACAATGTCCGTCATCTTAGACAGGGAAAGCAAAACTCACCACTATTCACCAATCACTTGAAAACAATAGCAGTGACTGTCACTAAAAAGCTGCTGATAAAATTAATAATTATGTATCAGAACACAGCTTGAATAGAGTGCAGTACCCAAGCCATGGGCCATGTGCTGAACTATCAAGATAAAACAGAATATTGAAAAGCTGCCCAGTAAGTGATCCTAATCCATCCCAGGCACCTGTGGGTAAAAACCATGTAGCCATAAAATTGAGCGCTCATTGTAATGTAAAACCAGAACAAAACTCAATTAAACATGCACAGGCAAACTTGATTCTAACATTTCCTAAGTTTTAAGGGTGTGATTTTGTAAAAATCATATCCTTTCAACGTGTATTTCTTAACATAAGTATATGTGTTCTGGTGCATACAAATACAGGTATGCACACATACTTACATCCCTGATTTGTCTTTCACCTCATTCTGGAAAAAAATAGTGCCTATAACTTATTCCATGAAGAAAGAGAATGAGAGAAGGAATGAGGGAAGGCTGTCAGGCAAGAAAAAGAGAGGGAGATAGAGAGTGAGAAAGAGGGGAAGGAAGGGAGGAAAGAAGGAACGGAGGCAGGAAGGCAAGAAGGCAGGAAGGCAGGGAGGCCGGGAGGCCAGAAGGGAGGAAGGGAGGGAGGGAAGGAGGGGAGAAGAGAGGAGGGAAGGAGCACTACCTGGCCTCTTAAAGTGAACAGTACAGTTAGTGCTTTAAACAAAGCAATGGATTTACAAGTGTGCTTATTTGCATGTTCAGCCTATTTCCAAAGCCAGACATATTACGTGCCTGGGCATATGCTTACTAACCTGATTATCATAGTAATCTCAAAATCTTGATCACACACGAAATTGGTGCAATGGTCATGAATATCTTTGGGTGCACCATTGCTTATGTCAGTAATTTCAAAGTTCAGCACATCTTTAATTTCAGTACAGTGAAGACCACTGAGACAACCACTTTCATCTGTAGAGACAGTTCATCCTGTGCAGTTGAAACCACCTCAATAGGTTGTGCTTGCAACCCTCCTAAAAAATCCCCAAATTGGGGTGCTTGTTTTAGCTACTTGGAAAAACACTCTTGGGAAAAATTCAGCTCTTCTCTGGGTTTTGCTGCAGGGCAGCAGTAGCAGATTAGCCATCTGCAGCAGAAAATTGACAGCTATTGTAGCTAAGGCAGCAGTAACACGAAGGGGAACAGTTAGAAGGAAGAGTCCAAGTGTGCCTGCAGGTGTCCTGAAATATGTAGCTCCACTGACTAGAAATCAGTAAAGCATTTGCTACTCACAGTCACTGCCACAGTGGCTTTGCTGGGTTTCACAACAGGAGGGATTTATTCTTGACTTGACCCCACTTTGGTCAACTCTCTAGAATCCTGGCTAACAGACTGCTAAGTATCTTGCTAGTGACCACGCCAGACACTGTGGGGACATGCTTGGTCTGCTGCCCACAGTGTATTCGTGGAAGAGGACACCAAGAGACATACACCGACCTAAAGTACCACGCCTGTGGGAACTGAGAAAATACCATCACACAATTTTTTCCCTGCCAGAATTATTCTCTAACTGGCCATAAATAAAATGGCCCAAAATAAAAATTCAAAGTAATTATTTTGAACATTTTAATGACTTTGGATTACCGAGCAATTTGCACAAGTTAATTGGAGGCAGTAAGTTAAATGCAGTTCTCTACCACTGAATCAAGACAAGCCTTTATAAGAATTCACAAATACCTGTAGCAGGCACATACCTGTCTTGCAATCTTGATGTTTCATCCACTACTGAAATAAGAACTTGAAGCAGACGTGACATGGCAGTGCTGTACTTACTGAAAGTTACTGGCTAGGTAGGTTTGTCCAAAGTTTCCCAGTGAAACTGCTGACCATCCTATAATCCAAATATGGTTGCATTAAATTCTAAAAGCCACCTTCATTACTGGAAACAGAAGAAATCCTTCCTTTTTCATTTGGACAGGAATTAAAGCTTACCTAGTAAACACCAGTGAGGATTTATTATCTAAATGACTTCTTCCTGTGGTGAACTTCTCAGTGACCTGCCTGTCAATACTAATGAAATCAACCCACCTTTCTTGTTCTGAGCAGTGGCTTTAAATTCCTAATTGAGTCCTTATGGCCATGTGCCATGCCTGACCAGTCAAAGATCCGATCTCTAATAAGTTTAGACAATCTCAAATTTTGAAAAAGAGTACAGTAGCTACCTCTGAACCTGGTGAAGGCAATAAAGTTGAAAAACAAATCTAAAATAAAAATGCTTATTTTATCTGTCTGAAACAGTTCTTGATACTCCTAAAATGAATGTCATGTATTTCAAAGCTAAAATATAGGCAACTCATTGCTAATACTCCATGTGAAAGCAATGAAGCAATTTTTACACCCAGGTAATGAAAGTGGGCAGTGAGAACACCTACATATTAAAAATATTTTCTTAAACAGACATCTTCTGACTAAGGTAGAAATTACATTAATTTTTGGCTTCACTTACTATACATAAGTATAAATGTAGCGCAAGGGTGTCTGATTTGCAGTTATTTGGGTCTATAATTGATACCTACTCCAGCGAAGGATTAATATACCAGAAGAAAATGAAAAAACTATGTTGGTGATGTAGGTTATTGAAATATGATTTTCCTGAGCTGCCAAACTCCTTGTTCCATATGTTGCTATTACAAAAGCATATATAATGTGAATTAGAGAAAAAAACCAAGGACTGTATTCACATCCAGACTTCTAACCGCTACCATTTAAAAGGGCCATAAGCTACCTGTAGATACAACTCATTCTTTTCCTACCAGTGCATTTAGCAGTTTATTCATCCTGGGGAAGTTTATTTGTTATTTTGCAGGCTGGACTGCCCTGGAACTTTGCAGGTTGCTGTTCTGAGTGGAGTTTGATTTCCCGCTGCCTCTCTTCATCACCTCTCTCTTTTTGTAGCTTCCCCTGCCATTCTCACGCTTGTATCTCTGAACAGTGGGCATGCTTTTCACTTTAAAAATTACTCCTGCTGTGAGCTCACTTAACAGGATTGGACACTTGTGATTTTGCTCTTCAGCAGGTCTTTCCGCTTTTGAAGGAAGAGTGCAGGGCTAGCCACTGTGTTCTGGCCATTGCTGCTTCCCTGCAAAATGAAATTCATTTACACTTGTTTTTCTGTGCTGCCTTTTTGTCTTGTTGGTTTCGAGAAGTGACAATGTTTCTGGGAGGCTGTATGCACAGATATTTGTTTTGCCTTTGAATTGTGACTCTCCACCGAAGAGACCCACTGTTTGTAGCAAACACCTGATGGGCCTGGTAGCCATCAGCACTGGGGTTTCACATCAGAGGATCTCTGCAGTGGAGTCTTTCCAGGCCTAGGACTCCCATGGAGATAGTGATGTAGTTCTGGGTTTTCTCACTGCAGCACCTGGATGCTTTCTTTGTGAGGGAGCCTGCTTCTGATAACCCCTGTGGTGGTACTTCTTGAGAGATGCTGCACTGTATCCCTGCTGTACAAATGTACTCTGATGCCTTAAAAACCCATGTACTGCTGGTCATTCCTCATGCCATTATACCAAGCAGTGATGACTGGCATGTCGTGGTTTAACCCACAGCCAGACAGCTTGTTACCCACTCCCCCCCCTTCTTGCCCTCCCCCTACTCCTGGGGGAACGGAGAGGAGAATCAAAAAGAAATGCAACTCCCACGGGTTGAGATAAGAACAGTTTAGTAACTAAGGTACAATACGAATCACCACTGCTACCACCAACGACAACAATGATAAGAGAAAACAGCAAAGGAAAGGAGTACAATACCACGCGCCGAACCACCAGTCCGACCCGGCCGACCCCCTCTCCTTCCGGGTTCCCCCCCAGTTCCCCCCTCGGCATGACGTGCTGTGGTATGGAATACCTCTTTGGTCAGTTTGGGTCAGGTGTCCTGTCTCTGCTTCCTCCCGGCCTCCCCTCCTCCCTGGCAGAGCATGAGACTCACAAAGTCCTTGGCCAAACCAAAACATCACCTCTATCAGCTTTGTTCCGAGCCCGAAAGTCAAAACACAGCACTGCACCAGCTACCAAGAAGGAGAAAAAATGACTGCTGCTGCTAAACCCAGGACATGGCAAAATTGCTGTTGTTTGCTCTACCTATTGGACTACAATACTGTGCCATACTGATGATAACTACAGCCTGGTAAAGCACCTTAGTCCTCTGTGAGTAACTTTTATTCTGCTCTTTTGGTCCTTATTTCATTCACTGTAAGTCAAACATATTTGTTAATTGATGCTCAGTTGTCCTTCTCAGGCTAACATGCTTACATAGGATGAAGTGTCTGACGTACTTCATCACTTGAAAGAAACACTGGAGCCTCGAAGTAGAGATATTATCCTTTCACCCCACCTTTTACTTATTGCATGGCAATGCTATTTCCATGAAGGTATTGCAGTGTTCTTTAAAATGCAGAAATGTGGGTTTCATTTTGGATTTTTCAGAGCTAGGAAATCTCAAATAATAGCTTGTCCCTTTTCATCCTTATGGAGTGATATGCTCCCTCATGATGAAGGTGAGGGATTGTTATTGCCTTCATTTGCACAAACATAGGTGGGAATAGCATGGGTAAAGCCCTTTTCCACAGATGTAGATAGTCATGAGCTCAGGGCTTCCTGAACCATGCTTGTACATCAGCTCTCCCAAATAATGTTCTTATTTAGAAAAGTTGTTGTCTACATTAGCAAGTACCATATAGTACAGGTGAAATAAATAAACTGGGAACTGTGAATTACATGTTACTTGTCACTTTCAGACCACATATTCAGGCAGTTCTTTAGCTTATCCATTGGTTTCTAAAAGGTCAAAATTAAGCTGGATTTTTCCACCCCTTTTACAGTAATACTACAGATTTCAGTGTGATTTAAGGGGATCTATCCCTGCTCTCTGCAGGCTTAGGATGCAAAATTATAATATTTTGTCTTTTATATCCACTTACATTAAAAGTAACATTGGTGTAATGGCACAGTTTTTGAAACCTTCTACTAGAAGGTGTCAGGACTACAGTCTCAGTTATCGGGCTTTTACATTACCCAGGAGAAACAACTACAAATGCAGAAATATGAGTTTTATAGGTACAAGATCAGAAGAAGAAAAGCCTCTACACTGCATTCTTAGCTGCTGACTTTAAGCAGCACCCATGCTAAGGGATTGCTCCCTAGGGCTCCATGATGTGCAGGAGCAAGAAAGATGTCTGAGGATATACACTTCAGAGAAATAGCAAGGAAGGGTTTGGGACTGCAAATATAATGAGCTGAACTCACCTTTGTTACACCAGTACAACTTCCTCGGATCTCAACAGGTTGTGCAAGTGTAACAGGAAGCTGAGTGTTTCACTTTGCACATCAGCACTGAAATTTGTTGCTCTAAAAGGAACCTGTGGGAAGTGATGATTAGACAAGGTACAAAGCTTCTTTTGAAAAGAGAGGGATTTTTGAAGCTAGGCTAGAGGTTACAACAAATGAGAGTGGTATCAAGATGCAATAGCTATAGAAAAGTAAAAAAAAAAAAGCTGAGGATGTGATAAGAGAGATACATAGTAGAAAGCTGACTGCTAGAATAGTGCTAGCTAAGAGGAGGCTAAGAATACTTCACTGCACAATTAATGTTATAAAGGATAAGGCAAAAGTAGCTTAGTGTGCTTCAAGTCACAGCTAAAGATGGTGTCCATGACCATAAATTGTATCACTCCTCAATGGAAATTTAGTGGAGATTTTTAACACTGGAACATTCTGCTGAAATAAGCACATAGAAATCAGATTGTCCTGTTTTTTTCAGAAGTGTTCTTGTCTTTTCACAGAAAAGCATTCTTTGTCCTTCCTTAAATTGTTATTGTCTGTCATTGGCCACTACCATTTAGAAAGCAGTGTATTTCTATTAAGTGCCTTTTGTTCTCAGAGCACCTTGAACCTAAAAGAAATGGAAGGCTTTATAAAGCCTTAGGTGTTTTAGTGTTCAACCTAAAGCTTTAGTTTTAGGTGTTCAACACCTGTGAAGAGAAGTCTCTGGTTTTCTAATTTCTCTTCACTACGTTTTAGCTACCTTTAATAAAAACACAATGTTGAGTTGTTCACACTAATGTACACACACAGTACCCTGTTTCAGTCATGATTCTTATCTCGTTTCTGATGTTTGTGATACAGCCCTTTCTGTTTCAGAAAGCTGAGAGGCAAAAGTGAGACTTTCTGTAACAACACAGAAAAGACAGGAATGTTAAAAGCTGCACAACAGATTCAGGATAGACAGTCACCTGATGCCTGTTTCATTCCTGGATTTATGCTGAAATACGGGGTAGAGTGCCAATGCATATGTTGAATGCATAAAATCTGTGAGGCTGTCTGTCAGGTGGGAATCAGACAGGAAGCCTGGAGCAAGGATACTCATAATTATGCCGTCAAAAGGCTTGCAATAAGCAGCAGAATATTTTATTTGCCGTCAATCCTACAAAAAGTCTTTTATAACATCTGTGTCAGCAGATTCCAGGTCCCAAGAGGTGCCACTTATTGAAAGCAGCAGAGAACTCAGTGAGGGTTTTGTTGTGTATTTGACAAGTACACTCAGTGGAAAACCTCACTGGTTTAATGAAGTTATAGGTGGCAGAGGACATCTCAGTTTTGCCTGTGTTTGAGGCATTGTTTCAAGGTGAGTTGGACATTCATGTTGATTGATGCTCAGTCAATTTTCTTTATTAGTGATTCCTGTTGTCTATCATTTGTGCTTCAATAGCAGGTAAACCCTTTGGTCAGCCCCCTTTAACCCCAGTGCTCTTCAGTGTGCAAATGCCTAAGTCACCTCCCTGCTAACACAAAAGGGTCCCTGGGAAAGGACATGATGATGGGGCACTGCACCACATGGTCATTTTCCCCCAGCTAGCAGAGACCAAGCTAACAGGGATCCTGTTAGTATTTAACAGCTAAGGCTGTTCCCATGAGCTGCAGCACCATGGATGAGCTACATCACCTCCAGGTGCAAGCTGGCTTGTATCTGTGAGTGTGCATGCCTCTCCATGCCACATCCTTCTGCACATTCAGGAACTAGCCCAAAGAAAGACAGTATTTCCACACTAGTCATGCCTGCTGAGATGTTTTACTGGAGTAGAGCACTGTAACATAGCCACAATGAAATAGCCAGAGTCCAGTTACCACCGCTATTTACTGGAACTTCTGTTTTGGAGCAGAATACAATTTGTTGCCTTTTCTCTGTCTGATACTGCAAAGCACATCCATACTAGTAAACAGGGATTATTCACTGGCCCTGAGGTCCATTGACACAGAACTGCTCTCATCCATATGGCTAAACTCCTTTTCAAAACATTGGCCACATCTGGTCTGCATTTGGGCATGTTCTTCCCCTTCACTAATCTTCAGGCTTTGTCTGAAACATGGGAGGACTGCTAACCAGCACAGGCCAAAATGTTCTCAGGGACCTTACCATGGAAATTCCAGTATGGACGGATGATCCCAGGCAAGCACACAGACCCATGCCTTGGCCTGGGTCACTGGTATGGACAAGGGCATACAGTACCACTCTGTGAAGTTTCTGGCTCTGCTGTGGTCATACGTGACAGAGCTGAAAAATCTGAACTTTTCATTTTGGTGACTGTAAAGCAAAGCATTCCACCTAATCTTGAAGAAGCTGAAAAGAATTTGGAAAATGCAGCTTGCCATTTGTATTCAGTGTGCTCGTATATCTTAATTTATTTCTCCTTCCTTGGTAAACCGCTCTGAGGTCAATAGTATCTAATTCAGCTAAACTGTGTTATAAAACGTCTCTTTTGACAATTTGTAGTTACGATGCAATTATCTTAATTTTGTCTCTGATGAGTCTCTTTCATCGACTGAGGTTTTGATCGACTGTACCTGTGCTTATAAAGAAAAAAATGCAGCATGCCTTGCTGAAGTTGTTTTCACTGGCTGTTTCATATGGTACCTGCTCACTGGAGCTCTGCAAGTCGTATGTGAAGAAAAAGATTCTGCTTGTCTTCCTGCTTCACAGATCCACTGAAAATAAGCACATCAGACACTGAGTTGAGCTAATGGCACACTTGCTTCTGGTTGCTCACTTTTGTTTTGGGTTAATGTCATACCCTTGCATGTAACATCTGGAGAGGAGAAAGAAAGATTTAATCAAAATAAAAATAGCTGGTTTAGGTTTAAGTTTTTCTTTTGTATTATGAAGTGCAGAAAGGGAAAATGAAAGGGTATAATTTGCTGTGGCTATTGAATAGAATAAGAGCTGTGAATGCCAGCAGGTCTGCTTCTCACCCACAGATCCAGCGCTTCATTTTTTGGGGGGAAAAAGCTCTGCACACCTTTCCACTGAACCTCAGCGTGCTCCTCAGTATAAACAATAGCTCATGTTGTTGAGGAGGCTTATCAAGAAAGTTATGTCTGTAATGATGGGGATTTTCATCTGGCATCCCCTGGGATTTGTGAAGCATTTGCTGCCTGTAAGTGTGGTGATAAGCTGCTCAGTGATTAGAATATTCTATCTGTAGTGCAATCGGGCTCCCATTTCTCTGACATGTCTCCTCTGTATCTTAAAAATACCACTAGCACATCAACAGCTTATCACAAGGAGCTATATGAATTCAGAACATGATTCTTTCATAAGATTGTTCAGGTTAGGTGTCAGCATAGACTGAAAAAAAAAAGGTGCTAGCAAGAGGTGAACATAACAAGCATATCTCATAATCTTTCTGTGTTATAGCCCTCATTCTCTCATTCCTGTGCTTTTTGAATACCCGTAGCTTTCAGTATCCCGATGTCAGCTTTTGACTGTAGGCTCCTCGGGGCAAGTGTGCCTTTGCGTCAGTAATACACTTTACCCACTTAATGGCACTGCCTGAGCAGTAATGAGTGAGCCCATTACAAGCAGCTGCAAATACAAATATCAGCAATAGTCTGGATACTCTGCTCCATATCTAGATGTTTAAAACAGGAATGAATTACCTGGTTGCTCATCTGAATAATTACACAGGGGACCATCATGCTTAACAAGTTTAATGTAAATCCACCAGCAGTCATAAAGGAGACTCTCCCATCATGCTGATGGTGTCTAATGACATAAGAGCCATAAATGACCTCAGTGATAACTCCCACACAGAAAGCTGACACATCTAAAACAATCAGCACTGTCTGGGTTAATGCAGTGAACACTGCCAGGCTCTTGAAAACTTCACTGCTCCTTCCCCAGGCAGATGTGGAGAGGGCCAAGGAGAAAAGGATATGCACATACCCTTAGCACTTGTCAACATTTTCAGTTGCAAAAGTAAAATGTCACCAGTGTTGAAGCCCTCGTCTAGAGAGCTAATAGCTGCTTGCTGTTAGGGCTTTCATTCCCTTTTTTAAAAAGCTCTTTTAAAATTGATACAATTTTCTTCAGAATTGAAGCTGTCACAATATACTCATTAAGTGAGGGGCAGTGTCTAGCGACTGAGCTTTCCTGTGTTGTCTTAACACCAAATCTTTTCTTGCGCAAATCTAGTTAAAATACACTGAAAATATTCATTTTAACCACATTTATGTTTAAAAAACTCTGCATTTGCCATATGCGTGTACAGAAAAACAGATTGTCCTGGACAGATACCTATTGTTCTGTTTTTTCTGCTGTATTTTAGCTGCTATATTTGTATTTTAAATAATTTCTGCAATTTTGGATATATCCTAATCCTCTGAAGTCTGTAGGGTGGTAATCTAACTCACCCTTTACCTCTCAGGGCACTGATGTCCTAACTCAGGTATGTGGAGTAGCCCTGCAATTATTTTTTGACTTGGATAACCTCAAGTCAGTTTCTTCTTTGGCTTTTCCCTCAAGCAGAGAGACCTTGGGTCACTCCTGGAAGCAGTGAAGAGGATTCCTCATGTCAGACCAGCAGGGATAGCTGACACATAGCAGCAATCTGGAGCAAAATCTCAGGAAAAGATACCTTGATATGAGGGGCCCACACAACAGAGGAAGAGATATCTTATTTCTTTCTCCGTGTAAGCAAAAATTTCTTGCCTTTTTTCCCCATACTGCTCAGGTCAAAACTTCCATGAATTGCAATGTGAATTTTTATTTTGTAAAATATTAAAGGGCTGTCCTATCACTATTTGTATGCCCATTAAAGCACATGTGCAGGAAAAGCATTTAACTTGGTATCTCAAAAGTACTTTTAAACTATTGGTTCTGCTTCTGAAATATTATAAAAGAGGCTCTGTCATGAAGATAAAAACCTTTGAAGAAGCTTTTTTCTGTGAAAAGTTTGTTTCATTTGGCTATGGAAACCTTCGCATACTAGGTGCTTCACATTAAAGGCAAGCACACATACCTGCAGCAGAACTACCATGAGCAGCATTGATAGACCTTAAGGCAATTTAGTTCAGCCAAAGGAGG